TACCAAGAATGGCCAACAAAAATCATCTTATGCTTCAGAAAGCAATACAATATGCAATGAATAGCCTTGAACTGGTTCATGAAACTAAGAATACAATTTTTTGTGTTGAAGAGTCAATTTAGAATCTTGTTCAAATGATAACTAGTACAAACGATGATAATAATGATTCAACACTGCCTAGAGTACTTATAAAGCAAAAAAAAATTAGAAAATAGTTCTCAGTAAGTATGCAGTTTGTTTGTTTATCTTACTGTTATATATAAATTATTAAAAAAATTATTATTATTTTTTTTTAATACAGGATGATGTGGCTAATATGATGTTTGAGTTGCTTGAAATTAATAAGAATGCAGATAATCTAATAATAGGCTCAAGAAGAATTATCATAAAAAAATAAATCAAATCAAAAATTCTCAAGGTGAATGGGATAAATATTGGAAGAATGTTATTCAAATTGATGTAAGATATTTTCTTTAATTTCGCATTGTGAATTTGTCACAAATATAAGTTTTATTCCTTTTACAGGTCCGTTAACAATATCATATTAGACAAGCAAATAATGTGCGAAAAATAAAGACTGCAATAGTCAATATTCTTGGCAAAGTGGCTATCAGAAATATCCTGAGTCAGAAGGCCTCTAAAAAAGAAGTTTTAGCATGGAAAACTAGCTCTGCAATGTTCGAAGCAAAATCTAAGTTATAGAAGCCTGTTGATCTATCGGAAGGTGCTGATCCGCGTATATACATATATACGCCATATTATGACAGAAGTATTTGTTGTCGCTCAAAGCTTAATCAAGAATTTGCTATTGTGGTAATCGATATGATGTTTGATCCTACAATTATGACCACTTCTCACACTGGTGGAGAAATTCATTCCCGAATAGAAACCCAATCTAAGCAAATTAACAATATAATACAAGATGATAATGCTGAAGATATAAACATCTTATTTGTTATCAAGTTAAATTTTTTTCTCTTCTACATATTAATTTGCCTTTTTTTTTATTTCAAAATAGAATAATGCTAAAGTGGTTCTGATTATTATCCTGAGCTTTCGCTTTCTGGTACTTCCTCTTCTACAAATCATGATGATAATTATGCTAATATGGATAGTGATCATAGTTGTTAAATAGGAAAGATACAAACAGAAATATATTTTATTAATAATAAAATTCTTTCAACTTAGCTAGTAAAGCAATCATTTTAGATAGGAATAATGTAAGAATATACAATTATACTCTTACTAATACATATATAGAATATTAATTGTAAATTGTACAAGTCACTTTTGTGATCAGGTTTTTTTCACTATATTGAGAGCTATTAGTAAACTTTGAATAAATTCATTATCAAGAAGGTTTTATATTTTTATATAAATATTACATTATTACATAATAATTATCGCATTGGTGCAATTGATCACTATATTATACAAGCAAATTATAGAATATATAAACAATCATTGCGTAACTTTTTTGATTTTTTGTATTTGTACTATTAGTTTGGCCTAATCTTAGCTAGTAAAGGTTTATTTATTTTTGTAGTTTTACTTGTAAATGTATTTAATTAATACACTTTTCACATTTTCTTCATTATAGGTATAGTTCAGTTTAGATTTTCACAGTTTTTCATTGATACGTAATTTGCTTATACTTTTAAGGACTAGGACCGCTTGTATCAATAGTAATATAAAAGTGTGATAGTGGGTAGAGGTCTACAAATTCCTAATTTTAAGGCCCGGGCCCAGCCCACAATTAGGGTTACAAATTTTTGCCAGCCCAGGCCTGCCTACAGTTAAAAATTTTTTGTCAAGCCCGGCCCGTTTCGGCCCAGCCTGCAAATTTTTAATATAAATTTTTTTTAAAATTTTAGCCCAGCCTGGTCTGCAATTATAAAAAATTTTTTTAGACTCGCTCAGGCCTGCAGACCAGGCTGAGTGGACCCAGGCCGGACCAGGCTTTGGGACCCAATACAGGCCTCTAATGGTGGGCTCTTGAGCAACTAGTTGATAAAGAATTCAAGAAAGGACCGTTAGAGTATTTATATATGTAATGAAACTTAATCACTTGTGGTTTTTTATTTTTGTAGTTTTACTTGTAAATATATTTAATTAATACACTTTTCACATTTTCTTCATTATAGATACAGTTCAGTTTGGATTTTCATGGTTTTTCGTTGATACGTAGTTTGCTTGTACTTTTAAGGACTAGGTCCGCTTGTATCAATATAATATGAAAGTGTGATAGTAGGCTCTTAAGCAACTAGTTGCTAAAGAATTTAAAAAAGGACCGTTAGAGTATTTATATACATGATAAAACTTAATTGCTTGTGATTTTTTTATTTTTGTAGTTTTACTTGTAAATGTATTTAATTAATATACTTTTCATATTTTCTTCATTATAGATACAGATCAGTTTGGATTCTTACGATTTTTTGCTGATATGTAGTTTGCTTATACTTAATCGCTTGTGGTTTTTTTTTTTATTGTTATATATATTAATGTTTTTCTTTCTTCAAGGTTGGGTTCTGTGTTTATTGAGTGTTGTCACTATTGATATGTAGTTTGTTTGTATTTAAGAGCAGATAGTTTTTTTAATATTGTTATAAATATTTAACTGACATTCTTCTTTCTTTTACGTAGCATTGCTAGTTCTTGATATTTGCTTTGCTGTTACTAGTAATAAGTGGATTCCATTATTGCTTTAGCTTGTGTATGCATCCAAATAATTTTTTTTTTTATGCAGCAATTGCAAGGTTGTTGTTTTTTGTCGTCAAAATATTCTTTTTTGTGATATTGCTTTTTGTGGATATTTAACTATCACTTTTTTTGTTAGGTTACAGTTGAAAACATTATTCTGATAAATAGCTATGCCAATCGATTTTTAGTGTTGCTATCAGTGCTTCATGTTTTAACTTCGTCATGTTGGTAATTTGCGATTGGTGTGATTAGAATACTTCATATTCATTGTTTTTTGTATTGCGGTCATTGCTTTGTGTTAGGTTTAATAATAGTTTGCAATTTGTGAGATTAGAACTATTTTATTGTTGTTTTGCAGTTATTT